AATGATTGTGTTTTGAAGAAATGCATGCATGATTAACATAATCATTTGGTCATTCAATAGATCACTGGGGTGAGTATGAGGCTTAATTCTGTTCACTTTAATGATTGTGTTTTGAAGGAATGCATGCATGATTAATATAATCATTTGGTCGTTCAATAGATCACCAGGGTAAGTATGAAACTTAATTCTGTTCGCTTTAATGATTGTGTTTTGAAGGAATATATGCATGATTAACGTAATCATTTGGTTGTTCGATAGATCACCAGGGTGAGTATGAAGCATAATTCTGTTCGCTTTAACGATTATGGTTTGAAGAAATGCATGCATGATTAATATACTCATTTGGTCATTTGATAGATCACTGGGTGAGTATAAAGCTTAATTTTGTTTGCTTTAATGATTGTGTTTTGAAGGAATGCACGCATGATTAACGTAATTATTTGGTCATTCAATAGATCACTAGGGGTGAGTATGAAGCTTAATTCTGTTCACTTTAACAATTGTGTTTCAAAAGAATGCATGCATGATTAACCGTAATCATTTGGTCGTTCAATAGATCACCAGGGTGAGTATGAAGCTTAATTCTGTTCACTTTACAATTGTATTTCAAAAGAATGTATGCATGATTAACATAATCATTTGATTATTCAATAGGTTACCAGGATGAGTATGAAGCTTAATTATGTTTGCTTTAATAATTGTGTTTCAAAAGAATGCATGCAAGATTAATATAATTATTTGATCATTCAATAAATCACTAGGGTAAGTATGAAGTTTAATTCTGTTCGCTTTAACAATTGTGTTTCAAAAAAATGCATGTATAATTAACCATAATTATCTGATCGTTCAATAAATCACCAGGGTGAGTATGAAGTTTAATTCTGTTTGCTTTAACAATTGTGTTTCAAAAGAATGTATATATGAGTAACTGTAATTATTTGATTATTTAATAAATCACCAGGGCGAGTATGAAGTTTAGTTTTGTTTAAAGATTGTGTTAAGAGAATGTATGATTAAACATAATTATTTAATCATTCAACAAATTACTAGGTAAGTATGAAGTTTATTTCTATACACTTTAACGATTATATTTCAAGAGAATATGTATATGATTAACTGTAATCATTTGATCATTCATTAAATCACTAGGGTAAGTGTGAGGTTTAATTCTGTTTACTTTAATGATTGTGTTTCAAAAGAATGTATGATTAACCGTAATCATTTGATCATTCAATAAATCGCTAGGGTAAGTGTGAGGTTTAATTCTGTTTACTTTAATGATTGCATTTCAAAAGAATGTATGATTAACCATAATCATTTGATCATTCAATAAATTACCAGGGGTATGAAGTTTAATTCTGTTTGTTTTAACACTTGTATTTACTATCAAAATTATTTATAATTATTTATTTTTTTTATTCATATTTACAGCCACTTCGTAAATTTTGAGCCACCTAAAAGTTTGCTCATTTTTTGAATCCTCATCGAACTTGTTTATGAATCATCTAACTCTTGGAAAACTACATTGCTGTCTCCATAGTTGAGTATCAGAAAAGCTAGATAATTCTTAGAACACAATAGAAGAGATTTCAGGAAATAAACAAAGTTTTTTGTACCCAGAATTTAACAATGGTAATAGGCAAGTCACAGGTTTTTTAACTGGATAAGTATAGATAGCAGTGGGTTATATTTGGATAATCCTGCATAAGAATTTACAGTACTAGGAAAGTATAACTGACATATTGGCTGCATAAGCAGCCGATATGTCAGTTATACGTTTTAAGTAAACTTTTATTTTTAATCGCTCGAGCTGGTTATCCCTTTCTATTACATGATATGGGCGTATCAAAAAGCTAATCGAGTTTATATTACACTATATCTCATAATTAGGTTCAATTTAAGGTAAAATTTTTAGTAAGATATAATTGGCGTTTTAATGAGTTATTGGCGTTATGTTAATTCTGTCTTATAATTATGTATTTATAATAGGACGTTTCAATTTAAGTATAATACTGTAGTTTGAATTTTACTTGCGCTGTGATCGTGCTGGTCCTGCGTGGCATCGCATGCTGCGCAGCTATCTTATGACATAATTGCGAATATATCATGACTTAAACTAGGAAATCATGATCTGAGCAATTATTATAAATCATTTTACTATAACGTATTGTTAAGTGTATTGACGGTTTTTTTGATTGCAGTAATTACAGTACTGTTGCAATTGTTACACTGACTGCAAATCTTCAAGAGGGGTCTATGTCACTTGCCCGACAACAATTCCCCCAACATCTATTTCCAACAACTATTTCCCCAACAACCACTTTTCTGACACACTCTTTTCTCCTACATACCTTTTTCCCAACAACCACTTCCCCAATATCCTCTTTTCAGACATATCTTTTTCCCCAACTCGGAGAAAAAGATATGTCTGAGAAGGTGATGTTGAGGAAGTAGTTGTTGGGGAAAAAGGTATGTTGAGGAAAAGGGTGTGTCGAGAAAGTGGTTGTCGGGAAATGGTTGTTGGAGAAGGGGCATGTTGGAAAATATTGTTGGGGAAATAGATGTTGAGGAAATTGTTGTCGGGCAAGTGACATGGACCCCTTCAAGAGAACCTTCAATGATTGGTTTTTTCTGACTAACATTACATGAACGTGCATCAATTTTGCTCATACAGACCTCGCCAAGTAATAAATATTTAATATTTAAAAATCTTTGTTTAATAAGATGCATCACTAGAAAGAATGAAATTATAAGATCGATTGAATAGTGGAAGGATATGTCGAACAGTGTGAAGATAGGTTAGATTATAAGATCTGGGGAGTAAAAAATTTTTGGGGTATTGTTTTGAAATTGATCAATAATAAATTTAGTGATCAAACGAATACTTAGATACGGAGACAAAATACTTAGATTCAGTGACAAAAATATTGCGTAAATTCCACCAAGCACCGTAATGTTAATAATTCATTAAATGCCATTATTCTTCAATAGAATATTCTTTTGTATTGTGCACACTTTTACGGTTCTATGAAAGATGCAATAATAAACACGGATATTCATATAGTATAACATTGATTGAGAAGTGTAACTGTTATGCGTCATTTCTCAATTCTGTAAATTATTGATTGGCCGTATATCAGTTGTACTCGCTAAAAAATCGGTTCGTAAGTACGTTGTGAGCGGCGCCGGGAGTCTCCAATTCATAATTTTTTACTTTATTTTATTTTTATTTTTATTGTTATTGGTATTATTGATATGTTATTAGTAGTATTTTACTATTATTACTACAAAAACTAAGACGAGAAAAAGCAGAAAAGATCAACACTGTTAAAATTAGAATCTTCTTCATAGAGATACAATTTGTATCAGATACAAATTTGTATCCATCTAAGCCGGTTCAAATTTGTATCCTTTTCTAATCAGATACGAATTGTATTATGTCGTCATCTTCGAATTTGTACAATTGAATTAAAGTAAGTTAGTATAATTAGTATAACACAACCATTATGTACGCAGTAGAGGTCAAAAGATATTTAAGTCCTATCCTTTCGCTGTAATAAAAATAACTATGCCAGAGTTGGTAAACTCATTAGAGTTTACTCAAGAAGAGTCTACATTTCTGACATTACCCCGCATTATCCAATTATGAAAGCATAGATTAAATTTTGAGATTATCTGCGCTCGTGAGAACATTAATTTGAATTCGGATTTTCTACACTGGTGGAGTAGTATATGTTTAAATTGAATCTTATTCACTAGCAGAATTCTTTGAACTACAATACATAACGTATAATATATGTATATTTAAGTGAAAGGATGCAAACGAGAAGGAATCTGCCCTATAAATATGGACCATTCGTGAGTATAAATGCCATTATTGTCAAGTGTCCTGTTGATTTCCTAAAAATTAATTTATATTAGTAAGAAACCATTGAAATATTTAATAATTTTTTGATATCACTTACCATCTCCAATAGTTAAATATACCATTTGAGAATCATATGCATCACCAGTTTGCTCTTCTGTTTAGTTATAGAAAACTTCGTTAAATTTAAGCGAATCATTATTTTAGCAAAATATATTAAATAATACCTTCTGTTGAATTTTTTGGTTTAGAAAGATTTTGAAAATTATAAATTTTGCTTGTTTGATTATTATTTACGGTTTTCTCCACTTTTTCCAAGGTAATATTCGTGGTGAATTGTTGAATATGTTGACATTCATCAAGTAAATACAATAGGTCTTTGAGTTCTACATGAACATCATACGCACTAGGGCGATTTTTAGGAATAGCATCCCAGCATTTTTTCATCAATTTAACATATAAAGGTGGTGTACCTTCAATAATTGGTGGTCGTTCTCCTTTCATAATTTTAAGAGCCAAATTAATATCATGGTTATCCTTAAAAAATGGTGGCATTCCAGATGATATTTCCCACATTAATATGCCCAAACTATAAACATCTGATTTTTCAGTTTCTAATTTTTCTATAAATACTTCTGGAGCTATATACGGAAGATTCCCATAAACCTCTAGGGTTTTTTTATTGACTGGTCCACAAAAACCAAGATCACCGATAAACCATTGCATAGTGTGCATGCTTCTAAGTATATTTCCTGAGTGTAAATCCCGATGCACTGAATCTTCTTTATGAATACAATAAACAGATTCTGAAATATCATAAATAATTTTAATTCTTTGCTTCCATGTGAGATATTGAAAATTTTGTTGTAAGTATTCTCGCAAATTACACTCCATACGTTCTAAAACCAACATGAAGTCTTGAGTAATAGGATCTTTTGTCATTCCATAACATCTAACAGTTCCTGTATTTGTTTTCATAAGATTTAAATGTACTTTGGCCTAATTTAAAATTAAATAATATATATTTTATATTATTTTATTAGAAAATATGTTGCAATAAAAATTTGACAATATATAGCTTACTTCTTGTAGCCATCTTTCGTTTGGATTTGTCGAATTCTCTAATCGTTTAAGTATAACTTCATTCCTTCCTCCTCTTTTAAATTGTTGTTTTTCAGCATCCCACTTAACAATTCTTCCACTATTCCATATTGCTGTAAAAATTGATGCGCAACCACCTTTAGTCAAGTATTTCACATTAGTAAACTCTTCATAATATATCCATTCTATAGCCATATCCGGCAGAACTACATTTTTCTGAAAAGTTTGAATTATTTCATCAATATCGGAATTATCTGATGTCCAATTTGTAAAATTTTTTGCAAAATGTTTTCTAATACAGTGTTCGCAAGTTTTCATTGCATAAGTCCATTCTTGACATTTTTCACATTTATTTCTTTCACCTAATTGATTAACGACTTTATGTGTATCATATTGTTCATCAATGTAATCACATAAGATTTTTTTTTCAATTGAATTAAGTGACATATCTTTATTTATAGTTTGTTTTATATGCCCAAATAGAGCTTCTGGCCCTTTAACAACATTTAAATCAACCTGTATAACAGCTTTGCCATATACTTCCCACGCAATATCCTTGCGAAAATTTTCGAATTTTTCTGTTTTAATGAATAATTCATCATGATCCTTTAACATAATGCGAATTTCTTCTTGTAAACGTAATGCTGATGTTTTATTCGGATCGATTTCCAATATTTTGTTGAAATCTAAGAGAGCTTCTTTGAATTGTTTAAGTGTGTAATAAATTATCCCACGGCGTTCCAATGTTTCTACGTCACTTGAATTTATATATAGTACCTTAGTAAAATCCTCAAGGGCATCTTCGTATTGCTCAAGCGTCTGATGAATGTGCCCGCGAACGTTTAAAACAGATTTGTTGTTTGGAGCTAACTCTAGCGCCCTATTTAAATCTGCTAAAGATTCTGCATAATTATTTAAAGAATAATAGGTTCTTCCACGAAGTTCCAAGGCATTTACATTATTTGGATCAATTTCCAATAATCTATTTAAATCTGTAAGAGATTCTGTATAATGATTTAGACTATCGTAGATTGATCCACGAAGTTCCAAGGCATTTACATTAGTTGGTTCGATTTCTAGTAGTCTATTTAAATCTGTGAGTGACTCTTGATAGCGCTTCAGAGTAAAATTGGTTTTTCCTCGATTAAACAATGCTATTGTGTTATTTGACTGAATTCTTATTATGTTGCTTAAATCTACAAGAGCTTCGCTATGTCGCTTATACCAATTATGGACATCTGCACGATTTAGTAATGACCTAATATCATCTGGTTGGATATCTAAAATTTTGTTCATATCTATAAGAAATTCTTCGTATTGTTTTTGATCACATTTAATTTGTCCACGAATTCTCAATACACTTATGTCATTCGGATTAATTTCCAGTACTTTATTTAAATCCACGAGAGACTTTTCATTATTATTCAGTATATTATAGATTACTCCTCGAACTCGTAAAGCATCTGTATTAGTTTGATTTAATTCCAAAGATTTGCTTAAATCTACAAGTGCCTTTTCATAATGATTTGTCCTGAAATATATATTACCTCGAAGAAAGAGTGCCGATTCATAATTCGGTTCAATTTCTAATACATTATTTAAATCTTCGAGAGATTTTTCATATTGATTACTATTATAGTATATATTTCCTCGAAGGACTAACGAGGCCGTATCGTTTGGTTGAATTTCTAGACTTTTATTAATGTTTGCAAGTGCCTCTTCATAATTTTCCATCAGATTATAGATCTCTGCTCGAAAAAGCAATACAAATGCATTGTTTGGTTCAATTTCTAATGCTTTGTTCAAATCCTCAAACGTATTATTATACATATTTATGTCTCGATAAATTCTTGCACGAG